GGTCAATATTTCCACCCTAGAGACCATGATTTCCGGAATCAGCGTGCTGAGAAGGCTCTGTGAGCCAATTTTCAGCCAAATCGGGATGGCCCGGTCATGGGTGGTAAGAACTTTAGAGGGTTCTATCTCGAGAACGGTCAATATTTCCACCCTAGAGACCATGATTTTCGGAATCAGCGTGCTGAGAAGGCTCTGTGAGCCAATTTTCAGCCAAATCGGGATGGCCCGGTCATGGCTGGGTAGAACTTTAGAGGGTTCTATCTCGAGAACGGTCAATATTTCCACCCTAGAGACCATGATTTTCGGAATCAGCGTGCTGAGAAGGCTCTGTGAGCCAATTTTCAGCCAAATCGGGATGGCCCGGTCATGGCTGGTTAGAACTTTAGAGGGTTCTATCTCGAGAACGGTCAATATTTCCACCCTAGAGACCATGATTTTCGGAATCAGCGTGCTGAGAAGGCTCTGTGAGCCAATTTTCAGCCAAATCGGGATGGCCCGGTCATGGCTGGTTAGAACTTTAGAGGGTTCTATCTCGAGAACGGTCAATATTTCCACCCTAGAGACCATGATTTTCGGAATCAGCGTGCTGAGAAGGCTCAGTGAGCCAAATTTCAGCTAAATCGGGATGGCCCGTTTCTCGCTGCTGGGCTCGCTGCTCGCTGCTCGCTGCTAGTTTGACAGACGTCTAAAACACTGCCAATGTCCCATCTAGTCTTTTATATCTATGTTCGGCTCCGTGTTACCTTAGTATTCTATGACCGTGGGAGACGGTTGGCCTGACGCAGATAGGACATACAATCTTATCGATTTCCGATTTTCCTTTTTTCTGAAATGCCGGATGTAACGGAAGTTAGCAGGGATCCAGAAAAGTTAAATGCAAAGCAAAGGTTATATATTTTTCGGACACTAACAGTCAACCACTGGTGTCAGTCGGGCGCACTATGGTATCGGCAGTCCATTTATGGATACGTATCTATTAAAGGAAACGTTTCCAAATTTGGAAGGCACTTTGTTCCATTTATGGAAACGCCAGTTCCAAAATTGGAAACGCCAATTTTTAAGCAGGCATATTTCTGTATTTCTTAAGTTAATAGTAATCTTTACAGCTGGCGTGTCTTTTTGTCGATATGTTTTCTCCCAAAACAGTAAAATCCAACAATATTTTCTTACGCAAATGGCGAATCTGATGCCCTGACGCAAACCCTTGTCAACGTTCCATTTTTGGAAACGGAAGGTTCCAAAAATGGAAACTATGAGCCAACACAGGAAAAGGCATAAGCACAATATTATTGATATGTGGGCCTGTCTACCCCACGCCCTCTAAGTAATTGCCGAGCTATTGATGCCGGTACATGTTCCGATATGGGTGATTTCCCTTTGCATCTAAATTTTGTATGAATGGTCCTCCAATTGCTTGGGCATAGTGCCCGAAAGCCGATGTTGGTACAATAATGCTTACGAAAATGTGTCTTCTGGGGAAAGTCCCCAATTTCTAGGCACCTACATAAACCCCAGAACTGTCCAACCGTCTTGCTTACTAAGCTGCTACTGCTTACGAAACCCACATTATAACATATTTTAACTGTTGCAAGCATGCATGCGTGACTGCAGTAAGCGTCGCGATGTGCCCTGAATTGCGGTTAACAGACTCTGGCTTCCCAAGAAAAGCAAGGCTTTATAAGTAAGGTTGGAGTTAAACTTCGGCCTAATCAGGCCGGTTCAGAAGCTCCGGTTCGCATTTCATGCTGTCGGAGCGTGCACCTTTTCCAACCTTCTCGTGGATTATTAGAAATGAGAAAGGCAGAAAGTGCTTCTAAAAACATTAAATGCAAATAAGAGTTGAAATACATATAACCTACTGCATCTGTGAGCTGTATGTACAACTTGAGTTAAAATTCGTCATTTGTTCCAAAAATGGAAACTGTGCTTCATAAAGCATTATTTAATGGGCCTTACACAGGCACTAACTGAAGGCCTACTGAACTAATACGGTGCAAAGTGGGCAATTAGTACAGTTTGAGCAATTCCCTATCCATAGAAATTGTTTATAACACCTTGTCATCGCTTTTTCATATAATTGAATCGTTTAAAACTGGACGACAGCTTGGATCGCTTCCGACAAGCAGTAACATATCAGACCTTTAATGCAATTATTTACATACATTCTACCAACTTTCACACATTCGTAAGTTAAATGGGTGCTAAGAAGTTCAGTTTGCCCACTTAGAAGCATCTGTATGAAATATTTTCCAACTTACCGCCTTCCAAAGCCGGAAAGACGATCTCCGCACGTGGTCACCAACACGCCATTCAGGGCTTGCTTTACAGCAATGTAAAATATTAATGAATACCAGACAGCAAGTCTGTCAATTAAAAAATTGTCATTCTTGTGAAAATCAAATTTTTCCACAAAAAAATGAGGTATATTTCATTAATGACACATAAAAGTTCACCTATCATGAAAAAATCTATTGTTTACAAAAGGAAGTGGACCGTGCAAGCCTGTTCAACAGCCGATTTTTCTGTTCAACGTTGGAATTATGAAGCGAAATGCGGTCTTTTGATTGGTGGCCTTTGTTTGATGCGGAAATCTATGGTTTGTTGCGGAAACTACCGAACAGGTTTATGTGCTCCTTGCGTTTCCGAAAATAGAAACGGAGCGTTTCCATTATTGGAACAGTTGGTTTTTAGCGTTTCCATTTTTGGAACTTTCTTCCAAAAATAGAAACGTTTCTATAAATGGACTGCCGATACCATAGTGCGCCCGACTGGTGTGTCCAAGAAAACAAGCAAGTGTTATGTCACGGAATACCTAATCCATGGTCTGGTTCAGTCTGACACAATTAAGTTGGCTTTCATAGCTAATTCTTATCTTGATCTTTCAGCGTAGATATACTATCCCCTTGGTACTCTCTGTTTCAGATTGAGCTGGTTTTGAACTACGCAATCAGTCGGGCGCACTATGGTATCGGCAGTCCATTTATGGATACGTATCTATTAAAGGAAACGTTTCCAAATTTGGAAGGCACTTTGTTCCATTTATGGAAACGCCAGTTCCAAAATTGGAAACGCCAATTTTTAAGCAGGCATATTTCTGTATTTCTTAAGTTAATAGTAATCTTTACAGCTGGCGTGTCTTTTTGTCGATATGTTTTCTCCCAAAACAGTAAAATCCAACAATATTTTCGTACGCAAGTGGCGAATCTGATGCCCTGACGCAAACCCTTGTCAACGTTCCATTTTTGGAAACGGAAGGTTCCAAAAATGGAAACTATGAGCCAACACAGGAAAAGGCATAAGCGCAATATTATTGATATGTGGGCCTGTCTACCCCACGCCCTCTAAGTAATTGCCGAGCTATTGATGCCGGTACATGTTCCGATATGGGTGATTTCCCTTTGCATCTAAATTTTGTATGAATGGTCCTCCAATTGCTTGGGCATAGTGCCCGAAAGCCGATGTTGGTACAATAATGCTTACGAAAATGTGTCTTCTGGGGAAAGTACCCAATTTCTAGGCACCTACATAAACCCCAGAACTGTCCAACCGTCTTGCTTACTAAGCTGCTACTGCTTACGAAACCCACATTATAACATATTTTAACTGTTGCAAGCATGCATGCGTGACTGCAGTAAGCGTCGCGATGTGCCCTGAATTGCGGTTAACAGACTCTGGCTTCCCAAGAAAAGCAAGGCTTTATAAGTAAGGTTGGAGTTAAACTTCGGCCTAATCAGGCCGGTTCAGAAGCTCCGGTTCGCATTTCATGCTGTCGGAGCGTGCACCTTTTCCAACCTTCTCGTGGATTATTAGAAATGAGAAAGGCAGAAAGTGCTTCCAAAAACATTAAATGCAAATAAGAGTTGAAATACATATAACCTACTGCATCTGTGAGCTGTATGTACAACTTGAGTTAAAATTCGTCATTTGTTCCAAAAATGGAAACTGTGCTTCATAAAGCATTATTTAATGGGCCTTACACAGGCACTAACTGAAGGCCTACTGAACTAATACGGTGCAAAGTGGGCAATTAGTACAGTTTGAGCAATTCCCTATCCATAGAAATTGTTTATAACACCTTGTCATCGCTTTTTCATATAATTGAATCGTTTAAAACTGGACGACAGCTTGGATCGCTTCCGACAAGCAGTAACATATCAGACCTTTAATGCAATTATTTACATACATTCTACCAACTTTCACACATTCGTAAGTTAAATGGGTGCTAAGAAGTTCAGTTTGCCCACTTAGAAGCATCTGTATGAAATATTTTCCAACTTACCGCCTTCCAAAGCCGGAAAGACGATCTCCGCACGTGGTCACCAACACGCCATTCAGGGCTTGCTTTACAGCAATGTAAAATATTAATGAATACCAGACAGCAAGTCTGTCAATTAAAAAATTGTCATTCTTGTGAAAATCAAATTTTTCCACAAAAAATGAGGTATATTTCATTAATGACACATAAAAGTTCACCTATCATGAAAAAATCTATTGTTTACAAAAGGAAGTGGACCGTGCAAGCCTGTTCAACAGCCGATTTTTCTGTTCAACGTTGGAATTATGAAGCGAAATGCGGTCTTTTGATTGGTGGCCTTTGTTTGATGCGGAAATCTATGGTTTGTTGCGGAAACTACCGAACAGGTTTATGTGCTCCTTGCGTTTCCGAAAATAGAAACGGAGCGTTTCCATTATTGGAACAGTTGGTTTTTAGCGTTTCCATTTTTGGAACTTTCTTCCAAAAAATAGAAACGTTTCTATAAATGGACTGCCGATACCATAGTGCGCCCGACTGCAATACCTATGCTTGTTCAACGTGTTATAAGCTTCTGCGGCAGACACTATGTGACTATGTAGTGTCCACTCTTGATGGAATGTAGTTTTTCCTTGATAAAAATAATTTGAAATTGCTTAAGTATTTTTTTTAATAATTATCTTTTTTATCTTTTAATGCATAATATAAAACTGAAACTGTTGCAAAAAAAACTAATTCATTGATGGAAAGTGGCACCTGTATTTCTTTTACAATTTTATTCATTCATTAAGCAAGTTGCAGATGCACTTTTTATTTGATTCTATCTTTCTCTTTTTATTTTTTCAGAGCACCATGTCTTCAGACTTGCAGCCTCTGTACTCTTTGCTGGAAGAGGTGCAAAGACGGAAGAATGCCATTCTTTGTAGCCGTCCAATCCGCACAGATCCTGCTGACTTCCACAGATATCTGGACCATCTAACTGCACATGGGTAGGTTTTTATGTCACATATGGCATTCAAATATCATAGAGATCATTATCTGGAATGTGTTCATTCTGTGTTTTGTTCTGTAGAAGGAAATGGTTTGTACAGCCTGACCAGAGCTCCTCTCATTGTCAGTTCTGAGCTGGGAGATCCTGCACGACTTGTTGACCAATGCATCAGACAGGCTGAAACTGGTGTGCAGGTATGAAGTCAATTAAGTAACACTGATTTTGTTTGATTTAGAAGGACTTCTTAAGTGACTCAGTTTTCCATTCATTGAAGACAGTGCCAATGCATTAATTGCATGATGCATAGGTTACTTTATACTTTCACAGATAAAATTTGAAAATAACCAATTTGAAAATAAGTTGAAGTTTAAGCTTTTGCCTTTTATGCATTATGACCCTGCTCCCTTTCCCTTATTAAGCACTGCACTCTAGCTCAATTAAGTGCCTGTTTTATGCTTGTGTTGGTAAGGCATGATCTGGAGTGATCATTGATAAGCATGTGATCTTCCCAGGAACTGGTGCAGAGCCTGTTTGAGGAAGAACAGCAGCACTGGTACCGAGCGGAGCGGCTGCTGAGTCACCGGGCCGAACGGCCTCTGTCTCCGGCCGCCTCTGCTCCCACTTCAGCCCCTGCCCGCGCCCCTGTCCGCGCCCCGGCCACCACGCCCGCCGTCCCGGCCGCTTCCCGTGCTGGCCGGGCGCGTCCACCGCAACTGGCCACCGAGCGTCGCGCCCAGCAGCGCAGAGAGCGGCAGCGGCCGCCCCCGCCCCCGCCACCGCCCAGAGCGGCACCTCCGCGAGCGGCCGCCCGCGGCGCGGCGCCCCCCGCCGCTCCGAGAGGCCACCACCCGCAGAGGGAGCCGCCCGCGGCCGTTGGAGCCGGCGCGGCCACGCCGAACGCCGCCATCCCGCTCTCCCGGCCTAGGCATCTGGAGGATACTGCCCGGGCCGCGTTGTTCCCGCCGGCGGGGGGAGGGGAGCCACCCGCACCGCCGCCACCGCCTCCGCCCCCACAGCCTCAGCCGCCGGCACCGCCTGCCCCGCCACTGCTGGCGTACGAGGAGTTTCAGAGCGCACGCCGACCGCGTCGCGTGGTGGCGCCGCCGGCAGACTCTGTCCGACTCGTGCACCTCGGTCTGGATGAGTCCTCGGACGGCTCAGACCTGGAGCCGCTGCTGGTAGGCCCTGAGGACGTTCTACCCCTCGCCGAGGAGCCGCAGTCCGCACTGGAGGAGGGTGAACCGCAGCAGGAAACCGGAGGAACGGAGGGCGGCGCGTCCGGCCCGCCGCGACCACCGACCAGCGTGGGAGCTGACAGCGAGCCGCCCACCCCGCGTCCTGCCGAGCCTGATGAGACGGCAGGGCAGGACGGACAGGGCGGCGGTGAGGAGGAAGGAGCGAGACTGGCAGCCGGGGCGGACACTGACGGCGCTGGGCCGCCGGACAGACAGTCAGCTGGTCGCGCCGCTGACGTCAGAGGGAGCTCTGGCGACTCCGGCGGCCGGCGGGGAGCGCGGTCTGCGCCGGCGACCGGCGGCAGATCAGGGGGTGACCGACGCCGCACAGACCGCGCTGCCGCCGGTGTCCGGCGCACTCCCTCGGCGGGCGGGGACGCGCGCCGCTCGCCCGGCCGTGAGCCGGCGGTACTGCGGCCGGCGCCGTCCGTCGGAGGCCCGGGGGTCCGGTGGCGCGACGGTCCGCCCGACGTGCCGGCGACCGGCGGACACCGGCCGCGGGCCCGTTCTGACGTCAGAGCTGACGTCACGTGGGTGCCGATGGACACGGGTGTGTTCAGTTCGGCGGGCCGCCAGCGAACCAGCGGCGAGACAAAGAGGAAACTGGAGATCAACGCCTACAAACTGTGAGTGCAAAGGTACAGTCGGCACTCATTGTCTAGATGTGGCGTGCCTTGCGGCCTTTTCTGGAATTGCCTGTTTGGCCATCGTTTTTTATGTTTCCTCTTTCGTCGTTAGCATCTTTGAGTATCCGTGATTCGCAATATTCCGTCTCGCATGCATTGCACTTTCTCGATCATGATACGACCGTGATTGAGTGCTGACTGCTGACGGCCCCCGAGACGTTTTCCATCTAAGGGCGCTTTTCCTTACGAACCGACTGACTGACCCGTCTGTGTCCGGCAGGATCCAGGAGGTGGTGGCCGCCTCGATGGCCGGCTGCGGTGACTCGCCCGGCTCCAGTCGGTCCGATGACGTCACAGGATCCTCCGAGTCGGTCCGGGTAAGTACGGGATAATATTATGTGGTATGGCCGGCTGCGGAGACTCGCCCGGCTCCAGTCGCTCCGATGACGTCACAGGATCCTCCGAGTCGGTCCGGGTAAGTATGGGCCATGGGGTAATATATGGTATGGCCGGCTGTGGCGAAGTATGGTAATGTTAGTTGGTATGGCCGGCTGCGGTGACTCGCCCGGCTCCAGTCGGTCCGATGACGTCACAGGATCCTCCGAGTCGGTCCGGGTAAGTATGGGGTAATATTATTTGGTATGGCCGGCTGCGGGGACTCGCCCGGCTCCAGTCGCTCCGATGACGTCACAGGATCCTCCGAGTCGGTCCGGGTAAGTATGGGGTAATATTATTTGGTATGGCCGGCTGCGGCGAGGTATGGTAATGTTAGTTGGTATAGCCGGCTGCGGCGACTCGCCCGACTTCAGTCGGTCCGATGACGTAACACGATCATCCGAGTCTGTCCGGGTAAGTACTGCAGTGTGTGTCGTCGGGGTCGCGGTGAGTTCAATCGAATTACCGTACACGAGCTTGAAAGTTAAGTCACGGCGCTCGATGGAATTTATCATGGACTTCATTGTCAAAATCAATATACCGCTCCCTGCCGAGCTCTCCTATTGTCAAGGAGGTCGCGAAATTTTAAATGGAAGATTTTAAAAGTCTAAAGGAAGCTCATAGATAGAAAGACAGATTCCAGCAGCCTGTCTTGTGGTTTTATTGCAGCTTCCATTCGCCCTCTTCCTGATAGTCTCTTTGTCGATGTGTCTGCAATAGTCTGACAGTCTGTGCTGTCCGTGTGTCTGCAGCCCACTGCCCGCTCCCCTGACTGACTATGTGTGTCTCTGTGTCTGCAGTAGTCTGACAGTGTGTGTTGTCTGTGTGTCCGCTCCCCTGACAGTCTATGTCTCTGTGTCTCTGCAGCAGACTGCCCGCTCGCCGGCGGCGGTGGCCGCTGACGCGCTGGCCGCCGAGCTGGACCGCGCAGTGGCCGACCACCGGTTACCCACGGCTCAGTTCAGCTCGTGTTCCTCCCGGAGCGGTGGCCCGTCCCCCTCGGAGGAGGGCCAGGCGGCGGGTGGACCGACCGGGGTCGTGGTGGCAGCCGAGAGAGCGGGGGCCGGTCAGACTCCTCAGCAGCAGCAGCAGCAGCAGCAGCAGCAGCAGCAGCAGCAGCAGCAGCAGCAGCAGGAAGGGCAGCTAAAGCAGCGTCAGCAGGAGCCACAGGAACAGGAGAGGCAGCAACAGCACCAGCACCAGCAGCACCAGTCGGACTATATTCAGCAGCGCCAGCAGAACCAGTACCCACAGCACCAGCACCAGCAGCAGGCGAACCGTCGGCAGGAGGACGGGGACCGCCCCGGTCAGAGGCAGAGCTCGCCTCCCTCCCCTCCGCCGAAGCCGCCGCGGGCGCTCCCCGCAGCCGAGTCCCGCTCCGACCCGGCTGAGACTGTCTCCGAGGCCACTGGGCCCCCCTCGGAGGTGTCTCCGTCGGTGGCGCTGCCGTCGCTGTCTCGCTCGGCGCCGCCGTCTGAGGGCCGGTCGGCGGCCGCTGTCCCGGTGGACAGTGACCCCGACCCCGGCCTGGAGCGGCTGCAGCGGCAGGCGCCGGTCGGCGGCAGCGGCGAGCACTCGGCAGCCGAGACGGACGACCAGGTGTCAGACGCGGCGCTGGAGTCGGACAGCGCCGGGCTGACGGCAGGCGGGGATACTAACTCGCCGGCGGAGGGAGAGCGGCACACCGAATCAGACGGCAGACCGCAGGTGAGCTGAGAGAGGGGCCGGAGTGGGAGGCTGGCGGAGTGGAGAATGTAGAGAGTTCAGTGGAGAGTAGGGTCACTGATTGTGCCGGAAAATAACAGACTATAAAGATAGAAATACAAAAGACGTTACATTATCAATGCCTTCAGGCGATTCCCTGAGCTCAAACCTTCGTGCTGAAAACCGTGATGATCTGCGATCCAATTTTTCTTCCGGATTTTGCCCTTCAACGGCATAATTGTGCGGCGCTATCGCTATGTCCCTGTTCCCGTCCTCTGCGATAACTAAGGTCTAACCGTGTCTCGTCCGTGGTCCCGTCATTTGTGGTGACTGACCTCTGGCCATGTTTTTCTCCCGTTGAGGTGACGCCGGGCACGGCGGTGTACCAGCGGACGGTGACGGAGCCGCCGTCCGCCGGCGGCTGTCTGACCGCCCTGCCGGTGGCCGGGAGGACGCTCGGACGGCCTCCTCAGCCGCCGCTCAGTGCGATCACAGACACCGTGAGCAGCACCGGCTGCGGCTCCAGCAGCGGCTCCAGCGCCGTCACCAGCCCCGGCGGCAGGGAGACGCCCAAGGTCGGCCGGCGGCCACACCCCGCCGCCGCCGTAGCACCATCCCCAGCCCCGACCGGCCGGGCCGCCCCCGCCCCGGCGGTCCGCGCGCCGGCGGCGGCTCCCCGCTGGGCGGACCGGGCCCCGGCGGCCGGCGCGGCACAGGTGGCAGTGGAGAGGACGGCGCAGGGACGATCGGAGACGGTCGCTCAGACATCGCAGAGTCTGCTGCCGCCAACAGGTTAGCTGCCATTGTCAGATGGTGTTTGGTCGGTGTTGAAAATAGCAAGCATTAAAATCAAAATCTAATTTATCGTAAAGGTGACGCCGGGCGCATTTATCCGTTACTGGCGACGAAAGCGGAGCCTAGATGATCAGCGTGGACTGCTTTCAACGCCCTCTGAAGTATCGTAGAACATTTTTGATTATTTCAACATGTTCTGTTAAAAGTGGGTGGTTGTTTTAAAGGTAGTGTGCCAGCTTTCTTGGACCGTATGGAGTTAATGGCCCAGATAAGGAGAACCGGATTTTTAGAACTTATCCATACCTTCAAAACTCATGGAAACGTCTTAAATTCTTCAAATTTTGAGTACCCCAGTGCGAAATTCGCCCCGACGGGTTGTCGGTCGTACCCCAACCACATTTCACACCACTATGAACAATAAATGCACACACTGAAATCGCTATTACCGATATGCTCATCCAATCAAGTTTCGATAAACCCGTTCATCATCATCTCCTGCGGTTTCGAACACGCCTGTTAGGTGGCTTCTGATGCTCGTCGAGGTCGGAATTTCCAAATACGCGTGGTGCGTCGGGCCGCGCGCTCTGACTTCGGCCAAGAAAAATGCGTCAGCTGATCATTGTCATTTCTGCCACTTGCGTGTGGTGAAATGGGGTCATAACTTATAAGACGGCTTTTTCATATCAATTATTTTACATAAAATCATATTTCAAACCATAAATAATGTTCGACAGCCAAATAAAAGAAACAATACCAATACGGGCTTACAGTTTAAGGCTCGACATTGTGTTGTCTACGATTAGACAGCTGATAACTCATTCCCGTACGTCGTATGGTCGTAACACTATAATGACCTTTGCTTATTGTCACAAGTGCGCCGCATTCGCGATTGTTGCCCGACGCCTGTTTGCAGGTGAGCCCACTACAGTTGTTATACATATCTAAAAACCGAAAAACTTTTAGGCGAAAAAGGCACTATTCCAGGCCCATTTTTGATTTTTTTGCGATATTAGGTAAAAACAGAAGCTTCTTATCCTAGGAAAAATAAAATGGGAAATCTTTCAAAGGTGGCACACTACCTTTAAGGATGAGATACAGGATAGTTCACTTCACAAAGCATGTCAAGGAACCCTGCCGTGCCTTTATCAGCCACTGTCCTGTTCTGCTCTGCAGTCGTGTCGCCGCAGTCAGAGGAGGGCTCGAGCTCCGTGCTGTTGCAGTCGGGCTGCTGTCAGACCACGCCCCCCGCCGGCCTGTCCGCCGCCTGCCAGACCCAGCCAGACAGCCCGGACCGGCAGCAGGCCGGCTGTCAGACAGAGGCGCCTGGCGGCGCGGCGGAGAACCTCAGTCTGCCGCCGAGTCCGCATGGCGGCGCTACCGGTCACCGGCTGGCGCCGAGGACTGGAGGGGATGGCTCTCTGTCGCGGAGTGACTCGTCCGGACATAGGTCCACCGCCTCCGGGGAGGTAGGTCAGCGGAGTCAGGATTCTAAGGGGCTCGGAACATCTTATATGACAACGGGAAATAACCAATAAGGCATGAATTCAGTAAATCATTAGAATGTTTTCGATGGCTTTGACATCAGACTACATAGTTGACGCGACATTTGAATTAAAGCACCGTCTGAGGGGGAGGTTCCTTTATTCAGGCTGCGGTAGGTCTACTGTGTCCCTCAGGACCCGTCTGATGGACCGGGAAGGTGTGCAGGGAGGTGACCAGGAAGTGGCTGTGATGGGTGGGTGAAGTACTGACCTCTGGCTGCGGTGGGTGGGTGAATTGACTGTTCTGTCCCTCAGGACCTCTCTGAGGGGGAGGTGCTCCTTCCCGCCTGGCTGCGCTGGGTCGGTACCGCCGGCTGCGCCACCACCGTGCGTTCCTCGGCGGTGACACTGGCCGCGGCGTCCCGGCACACCATCGGGAGCCATCTGACAGAACAGGTGCGCTACGGGAGTCGGGACTCACCAGCCTTTGGTAGGCTGATACCGTCCAGCTGATGTTGGTTTTGTTGATAGTCACTTTTCCAAACACTGTCACTTCTTCCTTGTTCCGTCTTCGTGACCACATTTTCACGATTGGTGAGCTAATAAATGAGTCGGCCCCTCTCCCAGAGCCTCGTCAGTCTGTTCTCACACCTTTTCCCCCTCTCCCACCGTCTTAACCCGCGCGGGGCTGGGGGGGGTAAATTTTACCCCCCCCCCTCGCGAATTTTTGCGATATCTCAAAAACGGCGGCGCGCAGCGCCGCCAAACTTTCAGTACCTTTTCTTACATCAATTTGACACGTTCCCTGAAAATTTGAGCGAAATCCGTCGGAAAATTTTTTGAGAAATTGACGTTTTAGTGACGTCATGTTCGCCATTTTCGCCTCAAAAACGGCAAAAGTTCAAACGCCGCTAACATCTTCATTTTTAAAGGAATCAAGACGTAACAAAAAAGGTTATACGTAATTTTACTTTGTCTATCAAATGGCTACCGTAAAGTGGGGCTATTTGAAACGGATTTTACAGTTTTTGGCCTCTCCCTTTAAGACGGTTCATATTTCTTATAGCATGTAAATTGCAAAAATGTAGTTCTCCGTAAGCTCTTTCATATAGGTGCATTTTGGTTCAGCTAGTAATAATGATTAAGGATATTTTTTTAGTTAAAGCCTGTCTCAAATAGCCCCATAGGGTGGGGCTATTTGAGACAGTTTTAGTTACGAAGAAATTGAAGAAAATCGGTCACGCTAGAGATAATTTTTTAAATGCCATGTGGTTGGAAATTAAATTTTGATCATTCTGGCAAAAATTGCTTTTGCAAAGACAGTTACATTTCCTTTATATTCAATCTTTTCCTTTTTCGTAGGATGCTTCATTTCGGTAGGTTATAAAATTGCATCACTATATGCTAAGGCTGTCATAATATGATGTGACCCTAAACTTTCCAATTTGCAGAATGATCATCAAGGACTATTCTAAAGACAACCACAGTAAAATTTTGAAAGAAAGTTTTTGTATATAGCCCTGGTGGCGTGAAAACAGACATACTGAAAGTCGGTGGGGCTATTTGAGACAGGCTCGCTACCTAATGAAGCACACCGTAATGAATCAAACGAGCTAAAAGGTTTCCCAAAACATTTAAGTGAATAGTCTGCATGATTCCTTGTTCCATTGCACATCTTCATGCGAAGAAATAACAGAAAAATGTTAAGCGGTTTTGATTTTATGACGATTTTCCTCGATCGCTGCATGCTGTATCAATTGGCCGGTAACCCTACCACATGAAGCCTACTTGCATAGGCTCACCTAACAGAATCTTCAATGGTGTTTTTTGGTCAACTAAGGTAGCATGTGTTATTGTCGACTAAGTAAGTGACTGATGAAGCACATTTTAAGCACATATTCATCAGAATAACTAGTTTGGTCACCAGCTAAAGGGTCATTATGTTACACTACGAACATGTAAATATTGCTTCCTGCTAAATACCATGAACCCACTGCACGTTATGACCACGACCAATTCATCGGTGTTACTCATGTCGAACGTTCGATGCACTTCAAGTAGATGGTGTTAAGTCTTCTCGGGTGCAATCGCATCACCATTATCAGTAGCTATTTGGCATATCGGTTGAGGTTTGACCAGGTGGGCATCATCGGGATTCTGAGACAATGGGTTACGCAATCGGCAGTAACGTTAACAATGTATAATATTTTCATGAAAAATATGCTTAGCCTATAAGTAAAACGGTAGTAACGATAGATGCAGGGCCGAAGCTGTTAAAATTTCAACGATGTTAAGCGGCAGGTAGGGGTCCTTTTCGAGCAACTTAAATTGTGCGTTTTTCTGTATTTCGTATTTTAGACCAAATTTCTTTCAAAACTTTTCGAAATTTTTCAAAAAGGTTATTCAGGTCATTCACTGTTCAATTCCACATCAGCCTAAGCAAAAATGACGAAAAAATATCGAACGGTTTTCATTTTACAGCGATTTTACTAAACCACTACCTTACTGTCTCAAATAGCCCCACTGTCTCAAATAGCCCCACTTTGCGGTATCTCGGTTTTTTGAAAATTTTGGATTTTTGTCTAATTTTTTTCAAAAAACTGACTTTTTTGGGAAAATCATTATAAAATCCAAAATTTTGAGTCTATCGAAAAAACCGGAATATATGTCAGAGAAGTGGTCTATATGCATCTACATACCAAATTTTAGAAGAATCGGTTCAAAAATGTGGGAGTTATTCAAAATTTTATGACGTCACGACACACAAAATTTTTGAAAAATGACTTTTTTGGAAGTTCTAGACCTCGTACGGAAACAAAAATAGCACCATTCGATTCGCCGTGAAAAACTGCATCAGATAGACACCTTTTTAGGCCTTAACAACCAACTTCAAAATTTGACCTCACTTGACCTGACCTTGACCTGACCTCGACCTGAAATTCATCCAGAGGTGGTCCATATCACTTATTGGCCCAATCTTATAAAGGTTGTGCTACCAAATGGCGTACTATCATTCCACCCCACTCTATTTACGGCACCCTATTCACGCAATCTTATAAAGAGGTAATTATGGTACCTCTTTGGTACCATAATTACTCTTTATTACTCTCTATTACTCTCTATTACTTTGGTACTTCATACCATATGGTATGGTAATTCTATTCACGCCATTTTGCCCACAGTACAAATCAACGCCAGCAGGAAACACGCAACGTGATTGGTCAATGTCTTGTCGCCGTCGCTATTGGAAATTATGCGTACTGTTTGCGAACAGCAAAAGTTATGTGTTTTAATTTTTATGGGACATTTATTTCTTTTAGAGACACACATATGTGTAATAAATAAATCATTTATGGAAAACGTGATAGCAAAGTATGGAAAACACGAACATGCTTGAAGAATTCTCCTGAAAAGTGGATTGCCGACCAAATAAATTTCAGCGAGGGCATTCTCGCGCTCAGAAAATCGAGTGAATAAAGTGTTTCTTCAACTCATCATTTGCATTTATTTGCTGTTAAGGCATTGCAATAACTTTGTTAAATAATTATTTAAATAATCATTTAATTATAGCTCGCCTACTATTTCAGTAATTGAAGTAATGCCGTCGACAATGAAGCTCCTACAATTTGAGCATCAGGATACGTACATTAACTGAATCAATTCAAGATATAGCTTATTTTCCTTCTTGTCATAAGCTCTTGAAATTTTCCTTCTTGAAGATGAAGCTACTAAAATTCGAAGATTACGTACATGAACTGAATTAGGTCAAGTTACAGCTTATTTTCCTTCTTATTCAAGCTAGGTACATATCACCTAGCCTAAAGCTAAAAAGCAATTCCTCAAAAGATTGAAGTACCCAGTCTACATATCAAAGCTATATCAAGAAAAATACTTGGTTCAGAAGTCAGATCGAGATGCAGGAGGAGAAACAACAGATTGATCACTGATCAGTAACTGTGCCAAACAGAAAGTGAGGAAATACGAATAGTGAGTAGGCATTTATAAATTTTTGACAAACTAAGGTATATCATCATTAATTTAAATATCTAATAAGAAGCCATGAAGTGCCCGTTATTTGTGTCATACGTGAGACGTGAGAATAGGCGAAAGACCCATACCGATTCTTGACCGATTCTATAATGCAGTGGCTGCCGAAAATCTAAGACGGTTACTGGTGCTAAAATCCTCTTAAAAATCCCTTTTAATTTGAAAAATAAAGCCATATAACGATGAACAATCGTTTTTATGTGTTTTAGTGTGCATTTAGTTCCTGGAAATACATATTTTGAAATTGATCGTTAACCCGGTTTACATAGCATATTTGACGAGGCTCTAGCTCGTTAATTTGGCGATAATTTCGATGCAGTGGTCTTCAAATATTTAGAGGGGATCATTTTGTAAATTGTTAAGCACCATTGGCATCTTTTGCAACATCACGGACGGAGATATAAGCTTGCAACAAACCCTATGTAAACCGGGTTGTTGTCTGTATAATAATTAATAAGCATCATTATAATAAATCATGAGTTAATATGTGGAGCATGTTTTAATCTTAGAAATATCATAATGTAAAATATTGCATACTTATATCATAAAAACATGGAATTTATCTTAAATCAATTAAACTGTCTGAGAAGCTCGTCAAAGTACGCCACAAATTCTGGCGTGGAATGGACCAGTGTTGCCAGGTCGAGTGATGACAATACCTCCAGAAAATGTTGTAAAAACCTCTAGAAACCTCTGTTCCATTGCCGCTGATTATAAAGTATATATACCTCCATACCTATCTCCGTATCACAAACCGTGGCGCCGTTTCAAAGCACGCTGCCATCCGCTGCTAGCGCGTGATGACATCATCAAGCCCATTGCTCCAACACTACCAAAGGGTCTGTTCCAGTCGCACTTCCTAACACCTCTAAACTCCTCTAAACTCTAAACTCCTAACACCTCTAAACACCTCTAAACTCCAAGATTGCTTCCCTGTTCCAGTGTCAGCTCTAGCCCCTACAAATCAAAGGAGGGCCCTGCTCCAACCTCCTCTATCTTGCCCTTCCAAAACTCCTCCAATTGGAGGAGTTTAGATGTGTTAGGAAGTGCGACTGGAACAGACCCAAAGTGTGACGTCAGCGCGCTGGCAGCAGCTGGCAGCGGGCTTGGAAACACCCGACTGTATCCCCAATCAAGATAATTCACTCATCCTTCGCATGCCTTCGCATTTGTCCACATAACTTGGTGGACTTGGTGCCCACCGTGGGCAACAGGTTTACATAGCCTTGGTGCCCACGGTAGGTATATCGAGAACTTTTAGCTGCAGCCGGCGGCCAGGGCCTCAACAGTGAACAAGCCAAAAGTAGGCTTATCGTTTCCATCAATCTGTAAAAAAGTGTGTTTAAGCATGCAATACTTAAAGGGACCCTCCCACCTTAACATTAGATTTGAGTTGAGATAGCCAAAAT